TTTTTTTCAACCCTCAATCGTGATCATCACTCACTCTTGGAAAGAAATATTTTTAAAAATGATGTATATAAAAAAAAAAAAAGAAACAACGAGAATAATAAAACAAATGTATTCAATATGTTGACAAAACTATCAGGTTATTTCGTTATTTTCTAAATTTGTGTTATCTCTTCTTATCGTAATGAAGCTTCCTCCTAATTTTTGGTTAAATCGAAGTAAATATTTAAATATTTGATGCATCTGATAAATGAGCTATAATATCGCAGTCTCCGTAAACTAACTACTCGTCTGGATAACGAGGATGGTTATTCTGGGGAACAATTTATGAGTTAGTTCGTACGTAACGAACTAAACAGGTCAGTTTGATGTTACTGATAGAGCCTAAGGGACGACAAAGCTTTTATCACCCGTTCTGGATACTGGCTACTACTGGTCTCACCAATTATGCTATTCAATACACATAGTGCATCATAGATAGAGAACATATGTGTTGATGCATACGGTTATAGGTTATGCAACGTTCCTAGGTCAATTTCAATTTAAATCAGTGCAACGTTTGATATTATCATTGATTTTCATTTTAATTGTTATGTGCTTTTTTTTAATTTTTTTATTATAAATGATACGATTTAGTTGATACATAAGATTATTATTAAATGTTAAGAAGTAAATTTATGAAAATGCAACACAACGTTTGCATTACATTTTAGTCTGATTTTTCTGTGATCCTCTTTTAATGATATTAATTTTATTTTTACAATCTGTTGATAATTATTTTAATTATCAATATGATAAACTTTGTTTTGTATACGTATGTACATACGTAATATTTATATATGTAGATAACGTCAAATAAAATTCGTTGTTACTCACGGATGAAAAATAATAATAAAAATGTTAATTTAACAGTAACCGTTCTCTTTCGAATTTCAATTAAATAATAATAAAAAAAAGAAGTAAAATAAACGAGATAGTGTTTATATTTTTAATTCGATGTTATCAGCAAATTTGCGAGACGTAGAATAAAAAGGAACATTTTCTCATCAAAACGTAGAAACGTAGAAAAAAAATAGGAAACAATTTCGTCTGATATTACGTATCTCATATTCTTCAAATCCTTTGAAGTCTTTTAATGTTTTTTTGTCTTTTTCTTCTTCTGTCACCAAGGCTCGAAGACAAAAAATAAACGCGAGTGAGAGAGAAAGAAGAAGAAAAAAAAAAAAGGAAAAAATAAAAATGAGAAACTAAATAGACGACGAGGTAGACACGAACTAGGATAAACTGTTACCACAAACGTTGCACACACTAGCAAGTAAATACGTTCGAGAGGGATTCATCTATTTTTTTCTGCGTATATCAAACACCCCTCTTTCTTTCTCTTTTTTTGTTTTCATTTTTTCTCTCAACAAGCGCTACATTTACTATCCTCCTTGTTTTACATCTATTTTAAATTCAAACCACAAAAGAACGAACGAACGAACGAACCTGTTTAAATTCGCACGGTTAATTAATACGCTCAAAGGAATTTTCATTTTGGGATTAAATACGGGTCGAATTTACGAAATAAATTGCCAAGAAGAAGAAGAAGAAGAAAAAGAAGGGGGAAAAAAAATGAGAATAATTTTATGATACTTTGAGCCCATTTCAGAGACACCTTATAATTATGGGTCTCTTTCTATAGAAGAATGACCCGTATATTTGCTCGTTAGTAACCAAAGGGTTAATCCTAATTGCTATTCGATCAATAATACCAATGAAATTCATTTTGTAATTTGATATAAAATAAAATGAATAAGTTTAATCTTATTTTTTTAACAGAAGGGTGGGTGGTTGGGGGAGGAACGAGGACAGATATGAAATATAGTTGGGTTATCAAAATATAATTTATTCGATCATTTACTTTTAGGACCTAATAATCCAACCCGTAACTAAATCCAACGTTTATCAAACAAAAATAACGAACGTTTTAATAATAATTATCCTCCCTAATTAATTATTAATAATTATCTAAAATGTGAGAATATTATTATTAACGATAAATAAAGAAAATCCTAAAGGATTATTTTAACGCGACTGATGAAAGTATTATAAATGTTTTCGAAATATTATCACAAAACGGGACATGATTTAATAATCTATTTTTTTTTTTTTTTTTATTAAAAATATGAAATATTAGAGAAAAGAAGGGGGGTGGGGATCGCGCCTATCGTCATAGTGTTTTCGTTTTAATCCTAGAATTACTAACTGGGATAGATATCTAAATTAAATGAAGATTTCATCGTTTTTCACTACTTTAATTTATTTATATTAATATAAGATTTATATAAAATTAAAATTAAATAAATTTAAAATAATTTGCTTTGTTCACCATTCTCTTTGGCATGAAAAAAAAAGCAAAATAATTCATATGCATAAAAATCTGATTATTGCTATCAGAACAGTTTTTAAGAATAAAAAAAATCCTTGGGGTAAATCTATACCCCAGTTTGTAGTTTGGGGGTTGACAAAAATAAGTTCGTAGTTGTAGGGTTAAAAAAAAAAAAAA